GCAGGTAAATTGTTTGAGTTCAGAAGTGCAAAACCAGTCTGGGCAACATAGGGAGATCCCATCTCTACAAAAATAAAAAAAAAAAATTAGCCAGGCATGGTGGTGCATGTCTGTGATCTCAGCTACTTCGGAGTCTGAGGTGGGAGGATTGCTTGGGCCCAGGAGGTTAAGGCTGCAGTGGGCCATGATTGTGCCACTGCACTCCACCAGGGTGACAGAGCAAGACCCTGTCTCAAAAAAAAAAAAAAAAAAAAATTTAAATAAACCACCAGATCCTGCAAGAATGAACTCACTGTTACAAGAACAGCACCAAGCCATAAGGGATCTGCTCCCATGACCCAAACACCTCCCACCAGGCCCCACCTCCAACAATAAGGATAACATTTCGACATGAGATTTGGGCAGGACAAATATCCAAACCATATCAGCCATTTTTATAGGAAAATTTCTGAAGTATATTAAACACTGACCTTCCTTCTTAGAAAGACTACACAGAACACAATTTAGCCTTTTCTCAAGGACATGGTGTTATAAATAGAAATATACAATGGTAATTTTAGAGCTGGTAGATCCCTACCTTGAAGATCAACTATTGAAATCTCACTTTACAGATGAACTAAATGATGTCGCAAGAAATTCTGTAATTTTCCCAAAAATCACACAATAGAATGGTCATGTGATTACCATATACCATGCTGCCACATCTACTACTGTATGGTGCTAAACACTATCTAGCAAGATAATCAGGATTTAGGGGCAGTAGTCCTTATAATTTCCCTCGTGTTTATCTTTGTTATCCCTTCTCTTTCCCCATAATCTTTAGCAATAAAACTTTTTTTTTTTTTTTTTTTGAGACAGGGGCTTGCTCTGTCGCCCAAGCTAAAGTGCAGTGACACAACTATAGCTCACTGAAGCCTCAAACTCCCAGGTTCAGGCAATCCTCCCACCTCAGCCTTCCAAGTAGCTGGGACTACAGGCATGTGTCACCATACCCAACTAATTTTTGTATTTTTTTGCAGAGATACAGTTTTGCTGTGTTGCCCATTTCAGCTACTTGGGAGGCTGAGGTCTCTAACTCCTGAGCAAGCAATCCACCTACCTCGGCTTCCCCAAGTGCTGGGATTACAGTTGTGAGCCACTGCACCTGGCCAATGAACCTTTATTCTTTTTTGTTTTTTGGGTTTTTTTTTGAGACAGTCTCACTCTGTTTCCCTGACTAGAGTGCAGTGGCACCATCGAAGCTCACTGTAACCTCTGCCTTCCAGGATCAAGGGATGCCTGCGCCTTAGCCTATGGAGTAAGGGGGACTATACGCCCACGCCACCATGCTTGGCTAACAATAAAACTTTTAAATCAAAAGAATCTATGTGTTTATCCTATTGAGGAGAAAAATTAAGCTAACATACTCTGCAGCCCATCTTAGGGGAAGAACTCCAAAAGATGTGAGCAGTGTGCTTTTAAAAAGGGGAAAAAAATGCAGGCTGAATCTCTGTATGGTCTTCAAAAAGAAAGAAGGATGCAATGAAAAGCCTACATTGTCTTAAGAACAGCTTTGGGGATATGACTGTTAGGAAGCCCAAAAAGTTCCTCAGAATAGGCAATGCAGTAAACTTCACAAGGGAAGGGACTAGGTTCTCAATAAACGTGGGTTGAATGACCTGAAAAATGAATATCTGTTACTACACTAAATGTTATCGGGGCTTTGTGATGTTTAATGTTAAGTTTGCATTTTACCTGTTTTTCTCTTCCCTTTCCTATACAGATATAAACTGTCATTTATATGCCTAAGAGCACCCCCCACCAAACATAGTCTTTTCAGAAGTTGATAACATTCCTTGTATCTTCTAAGGGGGTGGTTCTAATATGCTGAACTTGCTAGAATTATTTTTAAAATGAGGATGAATATGTTCTAAGTGATGATCTCAGGGATTCCCCTATGTATGAAGCATTTCAATACTATCATATAGGTCTTATAACTTCCATCTTGACTGCTCTTCTGTTGAGCTCTTGGCTCTGCTGTGCTGCAGATTACACAGGCTGCCAGATAAGTCACCTCCAGTGAGATGTTATGTTACTGGGACTATTTTTAACCTGAAACCAATGGTACTTGTCTATAATCCACAAAACTGTCATTTAAATGACTTTTTAAATGGCAAAATATCCTGAAAAATGACAATTCTGTGCCCAAACTGAGGAGGAGCACTTTCTAGACCCTTACTACATATATCTATTTTTATCCTCTCCCTTGAGACTCCAGTTGACCCTCCTTCTTTATTCCATTTTCTTCTCTTTTTTCCACAATTCACTTTATCTTACTCTTCTGTCTTTGGGTGTTCAAGAGATATTTACTGTATTTTCTAATCAGAAGGAAATGGGCTTAACTAAGAAAATACAAAGTTTATTTTTCCCATAATCTCCTGAAAATATGATCTTAAGGAAAAATTTCCATATTGAATTACAGAAAATGAGAATGCAAGTTAATCAAGGTCAAAGGGATTATAAAATATTATCTTCACATGATTATACTTGATGAAGCAATTGTCCCTTTAGAACATTTTACCTAGGACTAAATATGCTAAAAAGTATATCTAATAGCTTATTTCTTCATGTTTCTGATGCACACATTATTGCTTCTACTTTTGTTAATACAACTGAATCTATGAAACACTGCTTTTTCTATGTTTTACTCAATGTAATACATTTAATAAAGCAAACATTTTAAAGGCGACTTTCAGCAAACTATTTCACAAGAGAAATATTCCAAGCGCGCTAAAAAATAAATTAAATAATGATTAGAATTGTTGGAATCATTTATTTGGGAAATGACTCTTTTATTTAATTTTTACACTTTTGATTTGTTGGAATCGTTTATTTGGGGAATGACACTTTTATTCAATTTTTACACTTTTGATGTACCTAAAAACAAAATTACATATCATAAATTTAAGCAATGTGCTTGATAAAACCTAGAATGTGTCACCAATAAACAATATGAAAAATTTCAGTTTTAAGATTAACTTCAAATAAGTTCTTCCCAAACACTGAAAAATAATATTGCACTCACTGGGATAAATATAATATGAGTCTTTTTCCAAATATAAGCAATGTCACCTGATGCAATTCTCTGGCTCACTCACTATAACTTCCTACCTCTACCAAAACAAACTCCTTCAGGATGGATGTATTCCAAATCTGAACTGTACAGAAGGCAAAATATTTATGAAAAGCATTAGCATCATTCATAAGAATTAACATTCATCAATTAAAATTTGAACCCAGACCTGAAAGAAAAATTGTTGATTAAAAAAATTGTTAAAAACACCTCAAGTTCCTACATAACAAAAAAAGCAAGATTATAAATCTCAAGTATGGTATAACAACTATTCCAAAATGGATGTTGTTCTCAGTTTTAGTATAGACTGGAAAGAACAAATGAATAGTTCATTGGCTCTTTCCAGCTCTCATCCAACATCTGTTCATAGCAACTACAACCAGGTTATTTGTAGCCATGCTGTTATTTTCAGGCTACGAATAAACAGGTCCGTGTTGTTCTGAGAACTATTACCCAGGCATTTTTTGTTAGACAACATAAACCTCATCTAGTTTACCTTCCCTATATTCAAAAACAAGGAAACTGAGGCTCAGAGAGATGTAGTGCCTGCGCCCCGCCCCCCGCCCCAATTCAAGCAATTCACACTAGCACTAAGCAAGGCCTAAAACCAGGTTTTCTCAATTGTTTCTACGAATATGGGTCAACTCTGAGCATCAGAACCACGGATTGTTTTTCTGGGATGGAAGGGGCCTTTGGAAATTTACAAGCTGTGTGATCCTGAGCAAATTACAACCTTTCCAAGTCCCCTTTTCCTCTTCTACAAAATGCAGAGAGTACCTACTACTCTAACAAGGTTGTGAGGATTATGTCCGGCTTGTAAAGTGCTTAGCACAGTGATTAGGAAATTTTAAGCATTCGAAAACAGGTAGCTATTATTTTTACTCCCATCCTGAAAACATGGCTGCTCCTCATCATGGCTGTTTGAGAAGACAACGAACTGAATTCATTAACACAATGGACAGGGTCCCATCCACCAGAGCTTCTCTGGCCTACCACATTCTACAAACAGTAGAAAACCCCATCAAACAACCTATTTCATCCCACCTAAAATGATCATCCCTTACACTATTTTTTTTAAAAAAATGAAATTGCTGCCACATGTCTTCTGCTACGTGTTGTACACTGCATATGTCAAACAGAAATTGCAGAGGAGTTTCTGGTTCCACCCAAAACATGAAGAACAAACGACGGGAAAAGAATTAGATAAGGTCACACACCTGAACTGGAACTCAGGACCTTATTCTCAGCACATTCAGTTATGGGCGGTAGAAATGCTTTAAGCACCATAAAGCAGGAATAATGGCTACCTCAACAAAATACAATTCCCTAGGTTTCTCAACAAAATAGAATCCGTTTGCTTTCCCTAGTAAATCCATACGCACATGGGCAATAATTGAGCATCTTTCTTGTAAAACTGAGGATTAAGCTGTGCCTGAGCTGCGATGTACCCTAGGATCATACAAATCTATGAAAAAGTCCTATGAAATGGCGAGACAAAATGATGGGGAATATCACCTTGAAATCAATAAGGAAGGAATCATAATGTCTTGCCAAAGTCGTCTCCGTTGATAAAATCCCGACCCTCCATTTCATGACACTGCACATCCACTTCCCTCTAAGGAAATTAACAGGAATCACCGCAGCAACCAACCTCAGCAATCAGCATCGACCAGATCAACCCCTACTCAAATGGCGATAAGCACTGCGGGTCCAAGCCCCTCCCTGTAACTGCCAATTCCCGCGCTGACTCCGGACTACCTCACTTCCTTTCCGTTCTCCCTCCCACCCTCGACCCACGATGTTTGTCCCAAAACTCGCCACTGACAGAAAAAATAGAAACAAGACAGTCTTCCTAAACTTTGTCCAGGAAGTACCAGGTTACACATACCAGTCCCTATTACGATCACATCAAACTCCGAAGGGAGAGTATCCGCCATCTTGACGGGAAACGCGTCATGTGACTATCACTTGTGGAAATGAGATCAAGTTAGGCATTCCCTCAGTGGAAGGCGGAAAGGAAAACAATGCATTCTGGGTGGTGTAGTTCTTGGGTGGAAGGTCCTGGCAGGCGACTACAGTATTATATTTAAAATGTTTACACGTAAATTAAAAGCTCGACTGATTTTCCAGGCTGAGTGCTGTAGCTCATTTAGCCTGGAGGTTTGAAGTAGGAAAGAAATGTAGATTGTTATTCCGTTAGCTAGGATGAATGTGGGAGACTTGGATACCCCTTGACAATACTGAAGCAAGAATTGTTAGGAGACACGGAGAGCGGAGTGAAATTGAAAGGGGTTTGCTTTGTGAACAAAGGAGATTTTCAGTCCAGCCTAAAAAACTGTTTCCCGCCGTCGTGTCTGTACTTTCGTGTTGGCCCTCGAGGCACGGTTTTTCACACCAATACTTTCAAAATATATTCCATATCTTTTTCGTTTCCATGTCTCCTCAATGAAAACCCACGAAAAACCTCTCACCCTAGTTTCTTCAGAATGGAACTCTCACCGCGTCCGTATTTGTTCTAATTAGTCCAGACAGCCACTCGGGCAATAGATTAGCCTTGTTTTATAAGAGGGAAAAAATATATGAAACCATAGTTGTACTGGATAAGCGTTTGTTGAGTCTGAATTTCATTTTCCGCACGAACTAGATAAGTTCATGCAAGATTCTCCTTAGTTTACATTTAGTTTCCAATCTATTAGTTTCCATAAGCTACCGTAGAAATAATTAAGGTTAAATGGCCTTTATATTAAAGTGATTGTATTTGACGAGGGACTTTAGGTCGTCTATGTCTAACAGCTAACAGAGTTCTCATAAGTATCTTCAAGGTCTGTCACCTCCCACCGCTTCCCTTCATCCGCCCCCTACCCCGACCCCTATCATTTAAAATACTCCGCTGTCTGACAACACCAAAGCAAAAGGGGAAGGATGCTGGGAATGAAGGAGGATACTTTTTTGATCACAGAAATTTCTTGTGTAGTTATTTTACAAGAGTTTCAAAGGCCGGGCGCGGTGGCTCAAGCCTGTAATCCCAGCACTTTGGGAGGCCGAGGCGGGTGGATCACGAGGTCAGGAGATCGAGACCATCCTGGCTAACATGGTGAAACCCCGTCTCTACTAAAAATACAAAAAACTAGCCGGGCGTGGTGGCGGGCGCCTGTAGTCCCAGCTACTCGGAGGCTGAGGCAGGAGAATGGCATGAACCTGGGAGGCGGAGCTTGCAGTGAGCCGAGATCGCGCCACTGCACTCCAGTCTGGGTGACACAGCGCGAGACTCCGTCTCAAAAAAAAAAAAAAAAAGAGTTTCAAAATAAATCGAAGATAGTGTGCAGGAGTGGGCCTTCCCCGATACCACCTATCCTCTAAAATGCTTGTGGTTCCCCAGACATTGTTTTCTTTCCAGTATCTGTGACCACACTCATGCTCAGCGTGGAATGATCTTCCCGTTCTCTAGCTAACAGTTATTCCCAGGCTGTCGTTGGGCTTCCACCTCCTCCTCCTTTCATCTCCGTGTGTGGGCTGTTTTCCTACACGGTGCTAGACTTTGTCTTAACCTGCCGTACTGCTTCGACAGTTTGCATTTATGTCGATTCCTATAGAGTACACATATCCCCACATATCCACACAAAAATACACACCCAGACATGCAATACCATAATTAGAAACCCCTGTACAGTATGACAGACACCAAGTCTCGTTTATCTTTTTCACTCTCGCACCTAACCTAAGCCCGGTGCATAGTAGGAATTTAATAAATGTTTGCTAAACCAAACTTGATTTTGACTCCCCTAATGGATGGATGAGATGAGTCCCTGTCCTCATAGTGCTTACCATCTTCGCCTTTATATCTGCCCACCACTATCATGTGCCTTATATTTAGAAGATGTTCAGTGTTCATTAATTGTAAATATTTCCATGAAAATGCTTTAAAATATATTTTAATGGGTTTTAACTGCATTTCTCTTGCATTTTACCATAATCATTAGCAACACTGTACATGTTTCATTAATTTCTTTTATAGATCATCCAGTTGTATTACAAAATTCTCTTATGATATGGTCTTTGATTAGTATTTCCTGTAAAAGAGATTCCCCTGAGAAGTATAATGCACTGTTCAGTAAATCACTCTGCCATTTGGCTTGGTATGTAAAGAAAGTTTTTAGTATTGTCAGAAGTGAAATAGATATTATTTGTGAGACTCTTGATATGACAGTAGAAAATGGAAACAAATGAATTTCTCAGAGTAAACACAGGAAACTTTCCAAAATCTTCTCTAATAGAAGCCACAGATGGATGGTTAAAAATCTGATAAATAAAAGTATTTCTACCATACTTTGGATATATATTTCTATACATTTGTTCATGTATATGAGATATATAAACCACATACATATACTTTTCAATATGAGTATCTCTAGGAATTCAGAAATTTTCTGACAATCACACCATGAAGATGCAATTCATTAATTTGTTTATTCCTCAAATATTCATTGAACACCTACTATGTGCAAGACACTATTTTGGATGCTGAGATTAGAGCAATGAACAAAATAGACAAGAACCTCTGTCTTCATGAAGTTTACATTTAGTAGGGTAAAACAAAATAAACAAGTAATTACTCTGTAGCATAAATTTTCCAATCTGTGCTGCCCTGAATTTGAAACCTTCTTTTTTCGCCTAAGGATAGAAAGCATGATCCTCAGAAGGATAATATTACCAACTTCTATTTTGCTGTCCTTTCTCTAAAATCATTACAGGACTCATTCATGCCCTTTTCTGGGCATAGAAAATATTATTACATTACGAAAATTTCAATCTTGTGCATGGAGAAAATGCTCCAAATACCTTTTCTTTCAAATGTATTTTTGTAGACTTTATGCAAAGTAAAGATGAATATAGGAGTCAATAATTACAGTAAAAAAGCATAAAGCAAAACAGCTGAATTGCATCTATTCTGTTATTCTAAGGATATCTATTATTGAGAGCTTAAGTATTTTATTGGGATAAGTCACAGTACAATGAGATAACAGATACCTAAAAATTGACCACTCTATTAAAATCACTGTGGCACTAATTTTGTACTTAATTATTTCCTGAATTGAAAAAGCATGATTCCTTGAACACTTACCTGGTATTCAGACATTTACTCAACTATGAAATCTGGCTGTTATCTTTATACAAATCATAATTTAATGGTCTCTATCACTGGGACCTTTCCTTTGTGTTCCAGACCCATATATCCAATCTCTTACTGAACATCTCTTCCAAACATGTCCAATGCTGAACTACTGAACATTTGAATCCCGCTCCCAAATCTTCTCTTCATCCAGCATTCCCTGTCTTAGAAGTAGTACCACCTTCTACTTTGCTATTCAAGTCAAAAACCCAAGAATCTTCCTTTACACATCACTGTCTTTCACCCTTAAACCAATTCATCAGCAACACTTGCCATATTTACCTCAAAAATATATTGTAACTATATCAATTAATCTCAATATGGAATGCCCACATAATCTCTTCCCTAGACTACTACATTTGGTTATAGTTGGACCCCTTATTAATGCTTGCTTCTCTCCAGTCCATTCTCCCCACTGAAGGCAGAGTAAATATTTTAAAACTCAAATCTGATTATGCCTTTCTCTACCTACAACACTTCATGACTTCTCATTGTTTTTAAAATACACTCCAAAATTATAAACATAGCCTAAAAGGCCCTGCCTAAGTCTTCAGTCTCGTCTCATACCTCTTAACCTTCTCTCTCTAGGATCCAGCCATATTAGCTCTCCTTCATTTCCTCGAGTGCTCATGCTTCTCCCCACTTCAGGGCCTTCACTGATGCCCTTCCATGTGCCTGAATTGCACCTTTATCCTTCTGCCCCTCTTTATTGTAGCTTCTCATCCTTTACAGTTAATTTGAAACATCACATAATCTGGCAAGTCTTTCTTGAGTCATCAGTCTAGCTTAGGTCCCCTATCACCCTATATTCCCTCTTTGTTGAACTTATGATTGGAAATATCCGATTACTTATGGAATTACTTGTTTCATCTTATTAGAAGGTAAGATCTGCAAAGGCAAGGACTATGCCCATATTGGTCATCATTATATTCCCAGAACCTAGTCCAATACCTGGTACAAATAGTCACTCAAAAATGTCTGCTGAGAGTTTCTCTTGGCATTCATTTCTGTTTTTATTCCACTGTGGTCCAAGAATATGCTTGGTATGATTTCCACTTTTTTAAAATGTATTGAGACTTGCCTTATAGCAGAGCATGTGGTCATTCTTAGAGTATGTAGCATGTGCAGATGAGAAGGACATATATTCTGTGGTTGTTCAGTGGAGTATTCTGTAGGTGTTTATTGGGTCGAATTGATCAAGTGTCAAATTCACATCCAGAATTTCTTTATTAGTGTTTTGCCTTGATGTTCTATCTAATGCTATCAGTGGAGTATTGAAGTCTTCCACTAGTGTGGCTAAGTCTTTTCATGGGTCTGGAAGTACTCATTTTATGAATCTGGGTGCATGTATATTTAGGAGAGTTAAGTCTTTGTGCTGAATTGAACCATTTGTTATTATATAATGGCCCACTTTGTCCTTTTTTACTGTTGTTGGATTAAAGTCTGTTTTATCTAATACAAGAATATCAAGCCCCGCTCTTTTTTTTTTTTTTTTTCATCTGCATGATAGATCCTTCTCTCTTTACTTTGAGCCTATGGGTGTCATTACACGTGAGATGAGTCTTTTAAAGACAGCAGAATGTTCATTCTTGTTTTTGTAATCCAACTTGCCACCCTGTGTCTTTTAAGTTGGGTGTTTACACCATTTACATTCAAGATTAATATTGATAAGTGAGGTTTTGTTTCTGTTGTGATGATGTTAGCTGGTTTCTTTGTAGTCTTGATAGTTTAGTTGCTTTATGAGGTCTGTGGGTGATGCATTTAAGTGTGTTTTTGTGATAGCAGGTATGTTTATTTTGT